CAGGCATGCCCCCTGCTGAGGAAGGCGCCCTTCCCTGCATCCGAGACTCAGGGTCAACTGTGGGAGGTGGCAGGGCTCAGGGCAGAGGCCTGCAGGTGAGGATGACTTTGAGCTCTGACTCTGGATACTGGATCCTGCCACCCTGGCGGCTCACACAGTAAAGAATCCGCCTGCAGTGCGGGAGACCTGAATTTGATCCCTGGGTTGAGAAGATCCCCTGGAGGAGGGCATGGCAACCCAACTCCAGTATTCCTGCCTGAAGAATCCCCGTGGACAGAGGAGCCTGGCGGACTACAGTCCATGGGGTCGCAAAGAGTCAGACACGACTAAGCGACTAAACAAAAAACAAAAACAAAAAACAATCTTTAACAGGTACTTTTTCTTTAGGTCTTCTCAGAGTCTTGGCTAGGCCAGGGTGGACTGTGATTCTCCGATTCACACACTCAGCTTGAGTTTGGGAAGTGGGCTTCCTGACAGGTGTCCCCAAATGGGAACAGACATTTGACAGGACATCCCCAGGGATGAAGTTGGAGACACAAAATCTGGGGCCTGACTTAGGCCTTGGGGTATTATATAGGCCTGGCACTGTTCCACGGGACACAGCTGCTAGAACCAGAGCTGCCTTCCCACCCGCCCTCCTTCAGCATAAGTCTTGGCATCTCTGAGCTCCTGCATCTTACTCCCTGAGCCCCCAACCACAGCCATCTCTCCCACACCGCACACTCACAGCACAGAGGTGTGTGTGTATATGTGTGTGTGTGTGTGTGTGTGTGTGTGCACGCGCTCACTCAGTTGTCAGATTCTTTGCAATCCTATGGACTATAGCCTGCCAGGCTTCTCTGTCTATGGGATTTTTCCGGCAAGAACATTGGAGTGGGTAGCCATCTCCTCCTCCAGGGGAGCTTCCTGACCCAGGGATCGAACCCACATCTCTTGCATTGGTAGGTGGATTCTTTACCACTGAGGCACCAAGGAAGGGGCTGCCAATGCAGGAGACCTGGGTTCAAACCCTGGTCTGGGAAGATCCCCTGCAGAAGGGAATGGCAACCCACTCCAGTATCCTTGCCGCGGAGAATTCCATGGACAGAGGAGCCTGGTAGGCTACAGTCCATGAGGTCACAAAGAGTCAGACACAACTTGGTGACTAAATACACACACACCAGAGAAAGCCTCCTCCAGTCCTTTAGCAGAGAAGAAATTGAACTGAGACTTCCAGGAAAGACAGACCCCTGGGGCTTAGGCTCAAAGGAGGCTGCCCTCCCCCAACTCCAGGCCCTTAGTGGGAGTGAACCTGCAAGACATGCTTCAGAGCCCAAAGAAAGTGGCTTTTGGTGCCCCAGCCAAAGTCACATAAAATAGAAGACAAAAACAAATCCAGGTAATCAGGATCAGATTTAGACCGGAAGCCCCACACAGACAGGCTTATCTCCTCGTCTTTAGACTGAGATCCTCAAATGCCCTCCCCCACCCCAGACCTTTTGGACTGAGTGCTTGAGGCCTCTGCAGTGAAAAGCGGTGCCCCCAGCATCCTAGCCTCGGCTCCAGCCCTCTTGCCCCTCCCTCCTCCAGACCTCATCCATCTCTGGGGCTTCTCTGCTGCTGGGGTGGGGCAGGGAGGGCCTGCCCTCTGTGGCTCTAGTGCCCACACTTCCCCTTTCTCAGGGAGCAGGGCACTTCCCTGAAGACAGAGCAGTTAACTGCAAACAGTTTTTGTTATCTGCCCCTGTGTCTGGGACACACAGCCCCATCTGGGGGCCTGCTGGGCTGGCCTGTTGTTTGCCTTTGGGGCACTGGGTGCCTTGAGCAAGCCGGGAGAGAGGAGGAGGCTGCTGTGGGGGTAGGCAGCGGGGCACAGCCCCAGACTGGGCAGACTTGGTGCCAAAGGCTGTGGCTTCTGAAGCTCCAGGCAAGGGTCACTGGAGCCAAATGCCTGTCCACTGTCCTGTCTTCAGAGTCAGAGCATCTGATGCTGGAGGATACTCCCTCCCACCTCTAATAAAATCCCTCAGAAACATGGTCTTCCTTCTTCCAGGCCCCTCAAAGCCCAGATCCCTTCTAAGGGCTCTGCACCCTTCCACCCCTGCATACCTACGCTGACCCGACTGCGCTGCGCTCGGTCATGTCCGACTCTTTGCGACCTTGTGGACTGTAGCCCACCAGGCTCCTCTGTCCATGGGGATTCTCCAGGCAAGAATACTGGAGTGGGTTGCCATGCTCTCCTCCAGATCTTCGCAACTCAGGGATCGAACCCAGGTCTCCCGCATTGCAGGCAGATTCTTTACCACCTGAACCACCAGGGAAGCCCAAGAACACTGGAGTCGGTAGCCTATCCCTTCTCCAGGGGATCTTCCCAACCCAGGAATTGAACTGGGGCCTCCTGCATTGCAGGCAGACTCTTTACCAGCTGAGCTATGAAGGAAGCACACCCTCACCCCACCCCCACCCCAAAAAAGTTAATAAGGAGATATTGCAGGTGCTGCCCAAGGGGAATACCTGGAGGTGAACTGACGATCTGCTCCTGGGGCATCCAAAGCTGGGCTGCACGTGTGTTGTAGGTGACTGGTCTTACAAACCCATCTCCCCCCGAACTTGGACCTGTGGCTTGGGATTGCCTCTCAAACCCAGCTCCTGGGACGGTGACTCTCCCTCACCAGCACAGCCTTTTATAATACACACATGAGAACTCTTGTTATTCCACTCTTGATCAGTTGCTTCCAACAGAAGGTCACCCAGAGCTGTGGGACCCTGAGCAGGTCACTTCCTCTAAGAAGATGAGGGGTTGAATTCCTGATTTCTAGACCCTTCCAGCTTCAAAGTGCCATCACCATAACCACAGGGCAAGGGTCTTAAACCCTCCTAGACATCGGGACAGAACTCAGTATTACAGGAATGCAACAGGAATCTGACCTTTGGCCAGAGACAACTGATCAAATAATATGTGGTTCTGTTTAGGTTTATATCACAATTTCTTCATATACCATGCATGCATGCTAAGCCGCTTCAGTCATGTCTGACCCTGCGACCCTATGGATTATAGCCCACCAGGCTCCTCTGTCCATGGGATTCTCCAGGCAAGAATCCTGGAGTGGATTGCCATGCCCTCTTCCAGGGGATCTTCCCAACCCAGGGATTGAACCCTTGTCTCAGGCATCACCTGCATTGGCAGGCGGGTTATTTACCACTAGCACCACCTGGGAAGCCTATACCATACTATGGGCTATGTACCACATGTTGTATATCATTACATTGTTAGGTCTGGTACACATTTTGGAGTATAGGCATAATTTGTGCATCTACCACATTTGAGGGATGTATACATTTTGAGGGATAAGACACATAAGGGCATAAAGACACTGCAGCACGCACATGCTTTGTGTGTATCTACACACTAGGAATATTTCCAGTGCTCTGTAGATATGGCACACCTTGTGTAGAGACTCCACTGCTGGGAGCATTCTGCAAAGTCTTAGTGATATAACTCCGGCAAGACCCTGGGTGAAGAGTACAGACCCTAAGACTTGATCACCCTGCATGCAGTACACTCCCTCCACTGTGGCTAACCTTGAACAAATCTCTTGCCCTCTGAGACTCAGTTTTTTTCACCTGTTAAATGGGGATCTTAACAGTACCTACCTCATAGGCTTTAGGGGACAATTAAACGAAACAGAGCTTATAACAGACTTACCATCACATCTGGCAAAGAATAAGCACATGATAAATGGCAGCTTTGTTACTGCTTGGCCTTTTAAAAGTGTTTTATAATGCATAAGTATTTTTTAATTTCAAATATACATAAATTCAGATGTTTCCAGAGTCTTAATGCTTTTGAAAACTCAGATAACAGACAGACCATTTAATTCATATTTATTTCACATTTGATCTGTAAACTTTTTATTAAAAAAATCCACTGTCATTAGCAACATGTGCTGACATTAATTTTTCTTTAGTGAAATATGAGCTCAGGCCTTAAAGAGTCTTTGTCTAAAACATAGGGCAACTTGGATGTAAACAAGGTCTCCACCCTTCTCCCTTGACTTTGGGAGTTTATCAATGACTTGATCTCAACCAGAAAAACAGGGAGGAAAAATGGACAACACTTTGATACTTAAGAGCTCTTGGGGCAGGAACTGTACAGTTGGGCAGGCCCATTTGTCTCTTCAAACTGTTTACTTTGGGCAAATTGTATCAGGTTTGCTTCTTCCACATAATTTCCACTTCTCAGTGTCTAAACACAGCAGGTAAAAGATTTTCCCCAGTCAGCACTCTGAGGGAGGGAGTGGTAACACATACATCCAAGATGGAAACATAGGTACTTTTCAAGCAGTGGCCCCAGGGCATGGGAGGAAGGGGACACTGGAAAGAGGTTTTAAAAGTGCGGTACTGGAGTGAAAAAGGGTGCATCCGAGAATAATGGCTTTATACATAGGGCTGCTGCAAGGCAGAAAGGTTCATTTACTTCAGTCTTGGTCCATCCTTTTAATATTTACATAGGACAAGGCAATTATGCTGTTAGGCACAGGGGTGGGGAAATGGACAGAAATCTTTTCCCCCTCAGGAAATCTCAACGCAAGTCCAGTCCCAAGGGACAATCACCAGTTGCTGGTGAAAATGACACAGAGAGGGTAATGACACCAGAAAAGGGCTCACTTTGCAAAGAGGCTTGCCCTGAACTAGACACACTGTGTCTGCCTGGAGGGCATCTCCAGTAGCCAGGATTCAGACTTCAAAAGCCAAGAGACATTTGGGACCCCCACCCCCACCCCCAAGTACTATCAAAAATAGTGTATATTTACAAGGGGGGGGGGGGGATGGGAGGGCCGGCAGGGCTGCCCTGAGCTTTTGTTTAAAAATAGAGTTGGGGAAGCAGAGAGCAATTAGCCAGCGCCCCGTAACCCCCACCCCCACCCGCACCCCATCTGTTAACCCTTTGGGAGCCATCCATCCCTTCCGGGCTCTCTGAACGACTGTGACAGCTGGGCCCAGGGGAGGTGAAAATACTTTTAGGAAACAACACTGAGTTGGGGCTGCCCAAGAACCCAGGAAGATGGCTCTGAGTGAGGAGCTGCCCTAACAATNTCAGACGAGGAGCTCTCCTCTAGGTCCAGCGCGTCGGCGTCAGGCGGCCCTGCGGGCGCGGGCTCTCCCGGGGCACCATTGAGCTGGACCTGCAGCGACGCGACCTCGGCGCCCACGGGGCCCACGCCGCCGCGCTCCGGGCCCAGGCCGTTGGGCCTGCGCTCGGCGCCCCCCGGCAGCGCGGCGGCGGTGGCATCGGGACCCCGGCGACTGGGCGGCACGCGGGTGCGCCGCTTGGCGATTTGGTAGATGCGCACATAGACCAGGATCATGATCAGGCAGGGCGCGAAGAAGGAGCCGATGCTCGACGAGATGACGTACCACTTTTGGTTGTTAATCTCACAGCGCGGTTCGGGGGACGGCTGGCCACTCCTGCCTCTCTTCTTCTCGATGGAGATGAGCGGGGGGAAGGAGATGACGGCGGAGATGACCCACACCGTGACGATGATGGCCTTGATGCGGCGTGGCGTGCGCTTCAGGTTGTACTCTATGGCCTGGGTGATGGACCAGTAACGATCCAGGCTGATGGCACACAGGTGCACGATGGAAGACGTGCAGAAGAGCACGTCGAGCGCCAGGTAGATCTCACACCACGCCTTGCCGAAGTACCAGTAGCCCATGACCTCGTTGGCCAGCGAGAAAGGGATGACAAGCGTGGCCACCAGGATGTCCGCCGAAGCCAGAGACACCAGGAAGAGATTCTGGGGCGCCTTGAGCGCGCGACTTGTGAACACAGCAATGATGACAAGCACGTTACCGAACACCGTGAACAGCATGAGCAGGCCAGCCAGGCACACCAGCGTCAGTGTCACCTGCAGGGAGTAGGGGGTGGCCTGGGCGCCGCCCCCCGGGGCCTCGGTCCCGTTCCAGCTCGCGTTGCCCGCGTCCGGCTGCAGGGAGCCCATGGGCGCGAAGCTGCCCTCGGCCAGCGGCTGCTCCTGGCGGAACATGAACGCGGGTGCCCGCTCGCCTGGGCCTGCTGCCAGCTGCCTTCCGGCCCGGTGCCCCTGGGTCCTCCTCTTCCTCTCGCGCCTCGCTCGCCCCGCCGCGCCTCACATGGAGAAGGGGCCTCAGGGAGGCCGGGCCCCGAGCTGACGGACCGCTAGAGGCCCATGGGCCCGGCTCCGGCGAACCGCACCCGGTCGGTGCGCTTCGGGCGCTCGGGGTCGGCGCCTTCTCGCTCCCAGCTCCTAGATACAGCCAAGTTTTATTTCTAAGCGGCGGGAGAGAGTAGGTCGAACCGATGGGGAGAGAGAGATTTATTCTTCAAGAAGAGAGAACAAAAATCATCGGTGGCCTGATGACTTGGAAAGATAACAGGAAATTAAATATATGTTTCTATATCTTTGACTCTTGAGCCTGAGCGAAAGCAAGAGGTCTTACCGTGTGCGGGGCCCGCCCCCAACCCGTGAGGCAGGCGAGGGGTGCTGATGCTGGCTTGGGGTCCTGTGTCTCTCTCCTTACATCTCCGAAGCGAACACCGACTCTCTCGCTTCCCCCAGACGCGGCGGGGCCGGCGGGGCCCGGGTTGGGGCCACGGTGCGGGCTCTGCCGCCTCTCGGAGCGTCGCGGGACTTCCAAAGTTGAGTGCCCTGCTGGGGCTGGGGCGCAGCGCGCGGAGCTCGGAGGCGGCGGCGGCGGCGGGATGAGGGGTGTGGGGGCCGCATGAAGGCGCCCCCGTCCTCAGGTGGACCCGGGCTGGTGGGCGATCGGCCCTCCAGGAGCCGGGACCGAGGCAGGAGTTCTCCTGGGCGTCGGCCCGGCGAGCTTCAGGGTGCTGAGCGCCACGGGACAGGCTGGGGTCCGAGGGCAGCGTGAGTTTGGGCAGGAGAGCAGGGCTGGGGAAAGAAGGTGCTGGGGGTGGCCGGGCGGCGGCGCGCCGGCTGCTGGGCGTCTGCACTGAAGCCCGGGCCGCTGCTTCTCCGCCGCACTAGCCGTGGACTGGTTTTATAGCCCCAGGATCAAGCCGGCGTTGCTGAGCAGCCGGCGTCAGCCCCCACGTGGGAAGCCGACCCTCCCCCGCCCCTTGCACCTCCCTTCCACGGGTCTAGCGCCCTCGCCCAGCGCGGGACCCACTGGAACCCTGCCCCCCTGGCGAGATGGGTCCTTTGGGGAGGCGGATACCCTGAGCGAGGGATTTGAAGGGCGTGCCCGGGGAGTGCCTGCTGGGAATTGGCCAAACATCTCTGGGCTCGCCGAGCAAAACACATTGGGCACCCGGGAGTGGCCACAGCGAGCTGAGTGGGACTTGGGAGGAAAGGGTGTTGAGGTCCCCCGGGTGAATCGGGAGAAGCAATCACAGGTACAGGTCGCATCCGGAGCAACCCCGCCCTGGGCCGGGCCACACTTTTCCTGCAAGCGCTCCTGACGGCCGGGCGAGTGGGGCTGGTGAGAGGAAGGCGCACGTTCGGATCCAACCCCTGGGGCGGAAAGGGAGGCATCCCCCCACGCGGAGTGGGCTCCGCCAGAGTTAAGAGCTCCACTGTGGGGAGAAGCGGCCATTTGTGGTCCCAGCTGCAGAGCTGCTGCGAGACCCGAGCAGCCTGGGTCTGAACCGGCGCCCCCTAGACCACGGTGAGGAGGGGTCCTGGAGCGGAGGCGGCGCGCGGCGGCAGCGCGAGGGCGCACTGACACCTGCCGGCCGCAGGCAGGCACCGCTGCGAGTCCACGCGCCGGCGCCCGGAGCCTACTCCCGCCCCTGAGACTGCCTTCTCTCATCTCAGGACAAGTTTGGGTCCAGGATCGGAGACAGAGAACCGATTTTTTTATTGCACTCTGTCATGTTGCAGAAATCTTCCTAACGCATACATTCTTGTGTGGCTCCCCTCTCCCCGGCGAGAGTGAGGCTTGGTCTGATGAAGACACATCGGGAAGAGGGCTCTGCAGGCCTCAGAGCCCGGAGCTGGCAGCCCACCCTGCCGGTACAGCGAGACCCACGCTTCCCGCAGATCCCGGAGGCCTGGATCCTGCCTGGCTGGATGTGCTGCTCTGGTCTTCTCTGAACCATTGTGTCTTTGTTGAGGCCGAAAGCTAGACTTCATCCCCCACCACATCCGCATTTCAGATGCAGGCACACCAGCCTTTCAGTAAGAGGAGGATGCTGACCAAGAGAAGAGAGAATGTTTTCCACGTTCCCTCTGATAGGAATAGAATGGAGAGGGGGTGAGTGCAGCGTTCCTCTGCATGCTCGGTGTCCTGAGATAGATTTTAACGGTTGCTAGAGTACCGGCTTGTATTGTGTTATCTGCACTTTTCAAATAAACAGTAGACAGTTTAAGGGCAAGGCCCAGGAGGATAGGAACTGTCAGCAGGCGAGAGATTAGACCTAAAGAAAAGTTATCTTATTTAAGGGCCTACTAAACCAGAATACCTTGTGTAGTCAGTCAAGCTGGAAGTTCTAAGGATGGAACAGATTGCTTCTCTGCCCAGCAGGGTTCAGGCTCAGGACTGAGGACTAAATTAAGGACCTTGAGCATCAAGGCTGAGTATCACCTTCAACACCAGCTGATGTCTACGGCCTCCACCAGTGATACAGGCCAGTGATGCAGTAATTGATGTGGTTGCTCTTGATGTAGATAGTCCTGAAGTCTGTGTTTTTCAAAGTACTTCACAGGTGTTTCCTGCCATCATCCCTCCAACTGGATGACCTCCCTTTCCAGATTTAATTCTGAAGAGCCTTTCTAATCTGCTTTTCTGGAGGATCTGAAGGAAGCTAAGGCAATCTTTTCTCCCTCTGTTAAGTCCATTTTCCATCTTCTAACCAAGTCTCAGCTCTGTATCTCCTGAGAGAAGAGATATAGAGACATTGCCTGAGGCTCTTGGAAGTGTGGTCACACTCACCTTTGCACAGAAACTAGGAGCCCCAGACCTCAAGTATGAATGCTAAGAGAGACAAACATCAAAGCCCATGGCAATCTGGGCTTCACTGTGTTGTTCACAGACCTTAGGGCCCGAGTTTTCATAAACCATCACCGCCTATTTCCACACCAGCTGCTGACACATATCTCTCCTTCCCATCTCATTTCAGAAGCAAAAAGGGAAATGAAAATAGAGGCCACAGGGCTTTCTTTTCTTGGAATCTCCGCTGCTAGCCTGTGTATAACATCTCATGTCACATTTTCTAAATGCTTCCCAAACAGCCAGTCAGCAGCCAGTCAGCTTCTTAATTCCTGGGTTTGGAGTCTTTTCTCCTAAAATAGAAACAGGCTTTTCAAGGAGTTAGGGTCTTGGAGGCCAATTCAGGACAATTATTAATAATAATGATAGCTGTCTTTTGTTGAGTTCCTAGTACACAATATGTCCAGGGCTAGCTACAGAGCCTCTTTATATGCAGAGTTCTTCCTCTTAACATATGTGTTTGTCTCTCAGTTGTGTCTGACTCTTTGCGACCCCATGAGCTGTAGCTCGCCAGGCTCCTCTGTCCATGGAATTCTCCAGGCAAGAATACTGGAATGGGTCGCCATTCCCTTCTCCAGGGAATCTTCCTAACCCAGGGATCAATCCTGGGTCTCCCACATTGCAGGCAGATTCTTAACTGTCTGAGCCACCAGAGTAACACATGTATCTATCACCAAAAGCTCTGGCTCCTTAATTTGACACTCAGTGTCAGTATCTTTGAGCTTTAAAAGGCTATGTAGATGCTATTAGTTTTTTGATAGAAGATTTAGTGCTGTGCTTGCTGATCGAGACAGCACTTAGCAGAGAGATGTCCACAAAGAGAATAATTTCTATCCAGGCCTGTATATCTGCATTGCTTGGGAAGGTGAAATAGACTTACTAGTGCTCCACCAAGGTAATTTTGATTCATCAGGGCTGTGATGGAATGCAGACTGTGTATTTTAACAAACCTCCTTAGGAGATGCTAACATGCACACTCAGTGAAGATTCACTGCTCTAAGTAATAAATAATAAATCTCACTGGGGGCAGAAGTGATGAGCAGTTGCCTTGGTGGGGGCATAAAAGTGATGTCCAAGGAAGGGGGAGCTGCCAAGGATGGGCTCCAGATTGAGAATAACTGTCCTGGTTCTTCTGGGTCAGCCAGGAGGGTGTCATATTCTTCCAGGGACCAGAGGCATCACAAACAGTTGAGAGCCACTGTAAAGATGGAAGTTGACATTCCTGGCCTGAGGAGAAGTCAGTCTAGGGCACACAAATGGGTTCCACTATTATTTCTACTATTAATAAAAATACATACTACAGAGGATCTGAATAGACCATTTTCCAAAGACGGCATACAAAACGGGCAGCAGGCACATGAAAAGATGCTCAACATCACTAGTCATCAGAGAAATGCAAATCAAAACTACATTGACTGTCACCTCACACTGGTCAGAATGCCATTCTCAAATCTACAAACAATAAATGCTAGAGAGAATATCTAAAAAAGGGAAACTTCCTACACTTTTGGTGGGAATGGAAATTGGTACAATCACTATGGAGAACAGTAAGGAGGCTCCTTAAAAAGTTAAAATAGGACTACCATATGACCTTGCAATCCCACTCCTGAGCATATATCTGGAAAAAAACCATAATTTGAAAAGATAATGTACCCCAATGTTCATTGCAGTGCTATCTACAATAGCCAGGACATGGACACAATCTAAATATCCATCAACAGAGGGATGGACAAAGACGTGGTACATAGACACAGTGGACTATTACTCAGACGTAGAAAAGAATGAAATAACGCCATTTGCAGAAACACGGATGGACCTAGAGATGATCATACTAAGTGAAGTAAGTCAGGCAAAGGAAACAAATATCATTTGATATCACATATCACTTACATGTGGAATCTAATTTTTTAAATTATATAAATGAACTTGTTTACAAAACAGAAACAGAAAAAAAAGCTTGTGGTTACCAAAGGGGAAATGTGGATGGGGGGGTATAAATTATGTGTATTAACATATACATATTACCATATATAATATAACATAGATAACCAACAAGGACTTACTGTATAGCATAGGGAACTCTATTCAGTATTCTGTAATAACCTGTATGGGAAATAATTTGAAAAAGAATGAACATATGTATATGTATAACTGAATCACTATGCTATGTACCTTAAACTAACACAACATGGCAAATCAACTATACTCCAATAAC